CAAATAGCATGACATGAACATATGAACATATTTACACTGAAAACATGAAGATTTACGCAAAGGACTGAACTTTGGCCGCGGCGGACGCACCGGGCGCCGCCGACGGCGTTGTGCCGTTTTACGACCGAATCTCATATATCCTCGGCAATTCAATCTTAACTGAACGTGATTTATACTCTACTAAATAAATCTCATAAAAATGCTCGAGAACAAGGAACTTAACATATTGAGCAAGCAAGTACGGCCCGTGGTGCGCTACGTGCGCAATCACGTCACCTTTGGCCGCAACACCGCAAACATGCTTAATCATCCGAACGCTTGAAATAAAATAAACATGACTTTGCATATAAAGGCTAAATATGCGAGAATAGTTCGGAGGATGTTAACTTAGAACATAACATGATCGGCACGGCTACGGCTATTATCACACCTAACACGCATGCATGTCAAATTAAAAATTAAACTTAATAAACATGCTAATCTCGGTCAACAACCGTCGGGAGTTATCTCTGATGCAGCCCAAGTGACTAATCTTTTCGAACTCCCGTACTCGGCTGTGACCCTCCGCGTGTGTGTGACGCCGTGCGGTGGCTTGCGGTACGCGCGACGGACTACTACAACACTCGAAGAGGCTTACGTACTCATGACCGACGAACGATATGCTGACTGCCGTGAAGGACTTCTGCTATGCGTGCGTCGATTGCTGCTTGCGGTAGCCTACGGTGCGTGAACTACTTGCGGTACGTGCGCGATGGCTCGGATGAGCGACGGCGTGAGGAAAGCTCTCGGTAATCACTCAAAATCTCACTAAATTTACTTACTCTAATTTATGAATGCAAAGGATGCTGAAGCTTACTATAGAAGAGGAATAAAAGTGGATTAAAATGTCCAACTTCCCCCTTTTATACCCTAATGGCCGAGTGAAAAATTTGGAGATTAGCTCTCCTAATGACACTTGGATTTACTACAAAAATCCTTAGATGACTAAGCTTCCCATTTAACTCTCCTAATGCCACGTTAATATGCTTAGCAATGAATAATTTTGGGTCAATTTCCCACTTAGTATAAGCCATTATACGTATACATATGTTTGAAAATGACTAACAATTTCATACGGCTTTTCTTAGCTAATTAGGATTAATTACCAATTAATCACCATTAATTACTTAATTATTCAATTAAGCATAATACTTAATTACCAAAATTATTTCGAACGTAAATGGTACGTCGAAAATAATTTCCGGTAATTTCGACTGAACTGACTGAAAATAATTAATTCCAAAAATTAATATCGGAACTAAAAATATAATTTATACTGAAATGGATGAGATATTACAATCCTCCCTCCTTACAAAATTTCCGTCCTCGGAAATTCAAAACATAAACTGAAAATACATGAACTATGTACATAGAACAAGAAAATATGTACATCAGAAATGAAAATCTGGAAAACGAGCGCGAATATCGGACTCCTCTTCCCAAGTAGCTCCGTGGCGATCCCACTGAATACGCACGAGGGGAACGTATAATCGATTTTGACGACCTTAGGACCGAGAAATGGGATTCACTTAGAATGCGATTCATTTCACAACCCCCCGAGGGGTCCCTGATTTTTATTGCATGGCCAAAA